TATTATAATATATATAATACTAATAATAGGTATTATATATTAATATAATTATATTATATTAATTACATTATAATATAATATTAATATATACCTTAAAACTTATATTTATTCCGAATTAAAATTGAAAAGTTCAATTTTATGACATCGATTACTCGTTAACATTTTCACGTCTTGCAAATCCCGATAAAATTAGGAGGATGTAATAAATTAGCGTAAAAATTAACTCTCAAATCCGAGGAAATAATTCCGTCACCCACATATCGATAACGCGGCGGACAAAGTGTCAAGAGATCGATAACATTGCGACAGAAATTTCACTTCGATGTTTTCAGGAATTTGCAACCAATAATTTCCAATTACAGCGAATTTTCCCCAATTTTCCTTCAGCTTGTAGAACAAAAACGGACAATTTGGGAAGCGGAGATACGATTATTCACAGTTCATTTTTATAATTGCCGATTGTCAACAATTAGAAAAACGAGGTGCAACAATTTACTGTAGTTCAAAACAGCAGAAACGCGTTCTTCTTACGATCGCTAGGCAAAAAAGCATGAATTTGATTTTCCTTTAAGATCGCTCAGCTAATCGCGATCCTCCCGAAGATGTCTTCATTCGGCAAGTGTAAAACGACGACATTAAATTGCCCGAAAGTGCTCCTGTTTCGGCCGTCGAATTTCGAGCGGCGCCGAATCCGTCGGTTTTATAGCGTGTAAAATATCGGCGCGGGGGTCGAGGAGACGGAATCGTGTCCCAGAAGCCGAGTAGGGAGGCCGGAAAAAACCGGGTCCCTCCGATCGGGTTTAATCCGTTTCGGGGCACCCTTGCCAGAGCCCGCGAAGGACGAGTCGGGATCCTCCGACCGGGAAAAGGAATAAAATAGGGCGACCGTTGAAGATTTTATGCTTGCAAGCACACCCGACACAGGTTCCCCCGGATTTTTAATGTATTCCGCGATAGCTGTTTTTAACGACCGGGGATGAGAACCGAGCGACATCCCTCCCCTATTATCGTCTATTATCGCAGGAAACTCGGCCGATCTCTTTGTTCCTTCGGAGTTTTGCTCGACTTTGGTGCAACGAAAGAAAAGAGAGAAGGAGCCAGAGAGAGAGGGGGGGAAAGAGAGAGTAAAGGCACGGGATCAAAGGGAGAATCGACTCAACAGAATTTGCCGCTAGCATCGCTCGCTTCAATTAATTTGCGTGAAACGCGCAACAGACGCATCGCGAAAACCGCCGGCACAATGCGATTATTCACGGGCCGAGGACAAGAAAGAAGGAACCATTAACGGTCTCTCGATTTGCCTCCTCGAGGGTAACCCCGAAGAAAACAAGAAACACCGCCGGATCTTAGCACGAGCTTCGCCCGGGCCAGCCCCCTTCCACGCTTCAAGGGAGATCCACGGACGAGACCGATCTCTAATTCGACCCTGCGCGACCAAGAGAGGAGCCTTGGGAGCGGAGGAGACCAGGTGAGGTCACCGGCACCCCATAGTCTTCGGCTTGGACATCGACGACGAGCGTTCCCTGCACATACGAAGCGGAACTTTTTACGATGCTCTCGAACAGTAAAAGTGTGAACTGCGAATTCCGATTAATTAATAATTCCGCGCGATTTCCCTAGTATTATATCATAATATTAATTTGAGAATATTACTTTTTTTTATATAAATAATATTATTTATATATAATATATATATATAATAATATTATTATATTATTAATTAATTAATATAAATATTAATTTAATTTGAGAAGAGGAGATACGATTAGTCGAGCCTCGCGTCTCGTTTCCATAGTTCTTGACAATCGATGACTATAAAACCGAGCCGCAAATCTTCTCTTCCCAAATTGTTCACTTTTGTGCGCAATCTGAGCGCGAATTAGGGAGAAATTACTGTATTTCGGAGGACTATGGAGTACTCGACGAGAAAGCTTTTCAATTTTAAGTCCGAGAAATTCTAGCACTTATAGGATGATCTGATATGTAAGAAAACTGAGCTTCATTTAATCGAGGTAATGCGATTTTAGATTGCCGAAATGATTCGGAACATCTTTGAAGTTCCAATTGCGAGAAAAATCTGCCAATTCGAAATCCACGGGATTGTAAGATATTTTGGATGACCTGATATACAATCGAGGTGAATCACCTCGATTCATTCGAGCTTGGGACCTGTTAAAAGGTTGCTAAAATGATTAGAAACATCTTTGAACCCCCGATCGGGGCGAAAATCATCGAATACGAAGTCTAAAAGATTCAAGCCCTTCTAAGATGATCTAAATGTCCAAGAAAAAGGAGCTTATTCGATCGATCCCGGGACTTTTTAGCTCGCTAAAATGATCCTGAACATCTCTGAAGTTCCAACAAAGTGGAAGACTTTCGATCCGACACCCGAAACACTCTAGAACTTCAACGATGACCTAATGTACAAACGAAGGGGGCCAATTCATCGGAGCTTGGGCCCGGTTTAGGCTGGACCGAACGGCGACTGGAACGAGCGGGGTCCGGTCCTCGGACCGGTTGCAAGGACGCGTCGCTTTGATCTGTCTGGTCGAGGATGATTCGCAGACGGCGTGCAGTTGATTCGCCGACAAGCATCGTCCGGTTGATTCGCCGGCAAAACTCGTCCGGCGGAAAGTTTGCCGTGCGATTTTTCTCACGGTGCCGGTGGCGCCGAAACGGTAGTCCCGAGGCTCGAAGGACGTCGCGTAGGGACGTGAATGGTCTCGCGAGGGGCGGAAAGGGTCGCGGCGAAGAAAAGAATACGTTAACGGAGCGGAGGACGGGTGAAAATAAACTTAGATAGCGATCGTCTCGTTGCGACGCGGTGCTTCGGACACCGAGCTCGAGGTGCTCCGGTGCCTCTGCGAGACCAGATGGAAAGCACGGTGCGCGGCGCGCCGGCTTCCACCATATGGGCAGGTGCCCATACTGTTTTCAAAGAGCTACCGCGTATGCACGGACATGCGACGCGAAAATGCGTGCTCGGTGTGCGTGCTCGGAAACGCGGTGCGAGAGCGCGCGCGGCGCGTCTGTGTGCGGCACAGCCCTAAACGTGGCGTCGAAAGTGGCTGCTTACGTGAACGCGCGTGAAAAAGTGCGTGTTTCGGGGCAAGAACGCGTGCGCGGCATGGTAACAGCTTGTATGCAAATGAATGCATTTTTATACCTACTTCGCAATGCAACTCGTTCAGCCCCCCCTAAGGAACCGTTAAAAGTGAAAACCTGCTGCTACCGTTGTTGCTTTTGTTGCTGCTGCTGCTGCTGCTGCCGCCGCTGCTGCTGCAACTAAGAGCTTTTTCTTCTACTTGCTTCCGCCTCTTTTAGACGCGTCCGTCCTGGGAGAAGACAGGGACCGATCAATTTGCAGCTCGCTAATCAGTCGCGAGAGAGACGGCGATCGCATCGAAACTCGTTCCATCCCTCGTTCCGGCGCGTTCCTCTTCCATCGATCGGAGCTTCGAAATGTCTGCCTGACGGGGAAAACTTTGCGTCCCGACTTGCCAGACGAACGATAATAAATTCAGTGTGCCTAATCGAATCAACGATTACACGGGCCACCGATCGTCCCCCGTCTCGCCGACCCGTTCGTTCGTTCGTTTCCTCTCGGTTGAAGTCAGAACGGCTGACCAGGGTCCGAGGGATTACGTGAACGGCCGTGGGCCGCAAAAATCGCGGGCCGTCCGTCCGTCCGTTTAGCCGTCGAAGGCAAGTGTTAAGTCGTGAACCCGTGACTCAGGTGTGCCGGGTTTCACCTGTTTCGCTGTTTCCCGTATGCCGCGGCAGGTGCGGCCCACCGATATGTTTCGTCACCGACGAAACTCCTTTCTGTTATTCTGCTCTCGTTCGCTTCCTCTTTTTTGTGTCATTCCGGGGCCCGCCACGCAATTAGATGCGAACGCGCCGTTTGTTATCGTTGGGCCCGCAGTACCTGTGGGCCCCGGATCCACGGGCATCGGCCCGCCCTTGTCCTTATCGACGATCTCGCAAGGGCGCGACTTTTGGTCGCTTTCATCGGCCGGATCGACCGAACTCGCGTGTCGTGCCGCCTTTTTTTCCTGAAGCAACCATAAGTTTGAGAATACAATGCCTACGTTCGCTTTTAATCGGCGAACAATATGTCGATTGTATATTGATGTGTATACGTATATATACGAGCCGTTTATTTTGAAAGTGGCATAAGTCACTTTACCGTAATGAAAAGTGGTGATTTTTTAATGTTTATACGAAATTATTTATACCGAGAAAAATATCAGTATCCTGAGATAACAAATACAAGTAAATAAAATGCAAACCTTTAAATATATCGACTTAAAAACAAAGTGACTTACGCCAATTTCGAAATAAACGGCTCATATATCGCCCAACATCTTTTGATTTCATTTTTAAATGATTTCGTTTTAGAAATCGGAGCTTTCCATCCTTCGGTGCCGAAGAGACTCTCTGACATTTGGCCCTTTTGTTTGCAAGTATTTCCAGCTACGAAAGGGTTAATCCTTCGATAACAAACGCTGTAGGTCGATAAAACGATCGTAATTTATGGGATCGGATAAGGAAACTCCACTTTGAATTTGGGAAAACTTCTTTGACGCCGTTCTAAATTCTTCGAATTAACCCATTTGCATCACGAGAAAGAATGAAACAATGATCTTGTCAAAGTCTTCCGGTTTTTCTCGACGAAGTATGGACGATTTATACTCGACCATACATTAATGGAAATAAAAATGAGTTAAAGCGACGAGAGGATCCTCCTTTCCATGAAAATATCGTGAAAACGAAATCGTGCGCGTTTGTACGCAAAATTTACGTAAAACTTACGCGACGTTACAGCGAATCATCGTCGAAGGTACTGGCGAGGAGACGGCGTTCAACATGATCGGCACGGGAAATTGCGCGTCCCGGAACCGAATCGATGAAGTCTGTCCGCGAGTGTGAGGAGAAGAACGTGCGCAAGCAGAGTCTCGGTTCTCGTGCTTACGGTCCCGGTTTCTTTCTGCCTACAGAGATGCTGAAGTGGACGGTTTCTAGATCGTTGTCGGCGAACAGCTCGACGCCTCACGGTCCACCTAGCCTGAACAAGGCGCCCCGCAGACCTTTTCGGGACTTGTCGAACACGCCTCCCGCAGCTGGAACGAAAACCCGAAATATTCCTGGTCAAACCGCCGACAACGCCGCGGCGAGGACCACGCCGGCCCGCCGAAGGAGATGCAGGAGCCACGGCAGCGATCTGAGAACCTATTTCCAGGTACATATTACATATAGGTACATGTTTCGCGGCTTTCCTGTGCCAGCGGCCTCCTCGAACGTCGTTCCTTCTCTAACGGAAACGACGCGAGGGTAGAGTCTTCGGCCTTTAACCCCTTGCCGTGGCATTATCTTTGCAGTTGCGACGATGATTAGATCTAACAGATCGTTTCTGAGAGGAAGAAGAACCTGTTTATCGCGTGGCTAGACTTACTGGAACGATTAGATATCGATGATAAGAGAACGGAATTTTATCTATAAATGAATCGTTGCAAATTTTTGGTGCGCGTTCTTCATCAGTTTATGATAATACAGCAAATTTGGCAATTTATTGATACTGTCGAGCTAAGCCGAGTAAATAGATGTAGGATGTTCTTGGTCTAGAGCAGGGGTGGCCAAACTTTTGGTCACTAGGGGCGATCTATTTTTTTAAATTATAGGCGGCGGTCTGCCATAATCAGAAAAGTAGCAATTTAAAGGCAAAAATAAGTTCAAATTTAAGATAAACATAGATAATATCAGTCAGGATCTTCAGACAGGCAATAGGAATAGTTACTTTTGGTCACCCCTGGTCCAGAGATAGTTACAATAATGTCTCCCTTACTGATGCTCAGATTGTCCACTAAATTGGATAATTTGGGAAGAGCAGATACGATTATTCGAGCCAATTTATAACTATAAAAATAAACCGCAAGGCTCGAATAATCGTATCTCCTCTTCCCAAATTGTCCATTTTTGTGCGCAATCTGGGCGTCAATTAGAGAGACATTGCTGTACACGTTTTACTCCGCGAGAAGCGAGGCATGTTCTAAGAACAAGCGCCTTGCGCCACGACGCAAGGTTTCTTTCATAGCGATCTTCCTGCTAGCTAACGCGTTAACAGGTTCATGCTAAAGATCGCCGCGTCGCGTCGGACTCGCCAAAGTGCGGCAACGGCATAAAACGAGCAAACATTGCAGACATTTCTTCTAGAAGACCCGCCGCGGGTTCGAATTTACAAAGCCACAGGGACTGTCGTGAAGATCCGCGATCCAGCAGTCCGCGGTACGCGGCAGACCCGACGTTGATTCGCGGTCAGGGTCACGACCGAAGACCGCCGCGAAGTTTAAAGAAAATCTCGGCACCCCTGTTGCAGGCGACGAAGCCTAATTTGCGGCCGAGCAAGCGTCAGTCGATGTCGCGGCAGCCGGAGAAGTCGTCGGTCACGGAGAGCTTTTATCAGAGCACGCCTCGGGTCGACGCGGACATCGGGCCGCTGACCCTGTTCCCGGCGGCGTCCGTTGGCAAGTGCTCGACAGCGTTCACCCTGCCGACGGACCCGGCGCTGTTCATGAAAACGAGGCCGAAGGGCTTCCAGAGCGACAACGAGCTGCCGCAGAACATCGTGAACGAGGCCCGGGCGAACCTGCAGTCGCACGTCTCCGACTTCTTCCAGCAGATCTCGATGGCCACCAGTCCGGAGGACGTGATGGAGGCCGACTCGGTCCCGTTGGCGAAGAACAGGCTGTACTCGTCGCCGAGCGACGAGGCCAAGACCAAGTTCCCCGGCTGCGGGAAGATCGCCTATCTGCCGAAGCTGGCCAGGATCACGAAGATCCACGCCCGATGCAAGACGCCGTACCACACGAAGCCCGGCCCGGCGAACGCGAGTCCTTCGAAAGCCAACAGTCACGGCCAGACGCCGCTGGCCGGCAAGCTCTCGAACTTGGCCATCGACCAGGATCTGCCTAAATTCGAAAATATGGACAACACCGTGACGGAAGTCCTCAACAGGTAAGATTGCTAGCGAACCGCGCGCGCGGCACGGACAGTGCTGGTCCAAGTCGAGCAACTTTTCAACAGGTTCTGTTTAACGTGCGGCACGGGGAAGTTTCCTCGAAATACGTGCTCCTAAGTTTCGATAGGGATGGTCGAACAGGTGTTCTCGAAAGTAAAAGTTCCAGCTTGGACGGAACTTGCCAGGATAGGGGAACAACAGGCTCGCAACTTTGCTTGTTCGTTTCTATCGCGTTAGCTCGGCGACCACGATGAACTTTCTTTCTTTCACTGAAAAATTACTGAATACAGGCGGCCCTCGACTTTCGCACATTTTAAGAAATTCAACTTTGTAAGCCTTTGCGTTCCTCTGAGTGGACATCGTGAGTCGAGAAGGCTACATTGTAAATTGGATGCTCCTTCTCAGGGGACATCAGACTTTAGCCATCGGATTATAATGTTGTTCCGATCAAGAGGTCAAGACTTTGATAATTAGAAATACGAATGAAGCCTCTATGCGTCTAGACAAATTTTTAACTATTATGGAAGAATGGAGATACTCCGGAATCCCAATGGAGAACGTATATCTCAAGTACATAGGGCAATAAAAAAAGACACTGCGTGTTATAGAAATCTTTATCACGAAAAGAAAGAGAAAGGAGGTACAGTAATGTCTCCCTAACTGACGCTCAGATTGTGCATAAAAGTGGAGAATTTGGAAAGAGGGGACTATGATTGTTCGAGCCTCGCAACTCGTTTCTATAGTTCTTGACAATTCGTAACAATAAAAACGAACCGCAGGCCTCGAATAATCGTATCTCCTTTTCCCAAATTGTCCATCTTTGTGGACAATCTAAGCGTCAATTAGGGAGACATTACTGTACTCAACTAGCTCTTGACAAGTTTATAAAGAAAACACCCTACAGCTAAATAAATAAATAGATACCTTAAACCTCCGTTTCTTTACATCCCTCTACTGTCGAACATTCAACATTCGCACACACTTCCAGGAACAAATTGCGTGCGAAAATCGAGGGCCCACTGTAAACGATTCATCGTACTTGTGTACTAAACCTAGCAAAAAAAAAAGAACGGTTGTTCACTAATGCGATTTACGCTGTCGAAGCAGGGAGCAGGAGCTGAATTTCTCCGGGAAGACGGTGGCGGAGATCCTGCTGGGCGACGCGGAGGAGAGGAAGAAGGTGCTGGAGGGTAGCCGGGAGGAGGACACCCTGGGAAAATTGGAGCACACCTACGAGACTATCGTCGAGCAAGAAGAGGCCGTCGACGACGAGACGGCGTGCCACAACGACAGCTCCGTGTCTTCGGCCAGCCAGCTGCTGGAGGACCCTTCCCCGATGTCCTGGGCGTTCTCCTCCCCGCCCGACGAACTAGACGGCGAGTTCACCTTGAAGAGGCAGCGTGGCATCCGGCGGAAACGGCACCGGAAGGACACCGAGAAGATGTACGAAGGCAAGCGAGCCAGGAGACGGTTGTCCAGCCACAGTCCTTCGACCAGCGCGAAGCCGGAGCAGCACGTTCTGATGGAAGCTGTGAACCCGAACGTGAAGAAGCTCGCCCTGGAGACGGATCTGGACTCGACCCTGGACGAGAAGTGCGAGTTCGCGCCGAAGGCGCTCTTCTGCGACCTCGAGGATCCTCGGAAGGACGAGGACGACGGGAGGAAGGCCGGCTCCTGGGACCTGGACAGCCCCAAGTCCACGGTCACCGACGACTTCCACAGCTCCAAGTCGTTCCTGAACTCCGTGACGAACACGCCCGAAGCCCCGTTGGTCGCCACGGTCAGAAGATGCTTGAAATTCAGCCCGGAGAGCGAGCCGCCGAGGCCGAACTGCCACGGCTCGATCGAGATCGAGTATTCCGTCGTCGCCGATCAGATCCACGTCAGAGGTGAGCCGCCGTCATTTCGACGTAACCTTGTCGAAGCCTCCGGCAGCCTCGATTGTCACCCGCGGTTTCATTCCGACGCGTCGGTCGAACAGCGTCGAAGATGTTGGGACGCTTTCGCGGGAACTTCGTAGAGCTACGGTAGAACCTCGTCAGTCTTTGCCGATTCCATGGTCATCTTCGACAATCCAAACTCATGGCAACTGCCTCGTTTCACGGACTATTCGAACGAACGAAGTTCTACCGGAGCAGGTCCAAGCTCGCGAAGTACGATCATCCCCGCGCGATGCTTCGAACCGAGAGCCGTCCTTTCGGCGTGCACGGGTTTAATTCGCGACGGTACCGAGATCGTCCGGCACTTCGAGGCCTCGGGATTGGGTCCGTCGGCAATTCCCGCGATCGAAAAATTTTGGGAATCGTGGCGCAACGGTCGCGCGGCGGCATACGGGTCCCGCGATCGAAAATTCGCACGGGTCTACGCGGCGCCGAGACGTCCCTGAAAAGCTCGCGTGAAAGGGCATGCGCCGGTCCGGCGGCACGAGAAGGGGGTGTGTTTCAGTTGGCACCCCACGATTCACGGCTGTGCCAGTAACCCACAGACCCTCCTGGCAATTGGCTCCCGGTTAGTAGGCCTACCAACATTGATTCTCCGCGGTACACATACTTGCGTAAACAAAATTCTCTGCGGTGATCCGCGCGTCGCGGCCAGGCGTCCGCTGTTCCCGCAAGCACGCGCCACCCTCGCAGCAAACGTCTCGCGGGGGAGAGAGACCGTGGCCCGCGGCTGCGGACGTTTCCGCATCGATCTCCCATCGGTCCGAACACGGTGTTCCGCGAGCGGATCGGTCCGGGAGCCAGCGAGACGGCGTTTCCAGCGGCGTAGCCTCGCCAGTGGAGCAGCGCCGCGTTCTTCGGACGCTCGGTGTGCGAGTGGTGCGTGCGAAGGAACGGTCGGACGGCGCAGCCTCTTCGAGGCCTGCCCGAGATCCCCGAGAGGTCCCCGGGGCCCGCGTCGACTCGCGTAGCCAGCGGTCCCGACCGCGGCTTTTCCTCTCGCTGCCTGCCGCGCGATCGGTTCCCGCCGCGCGATCGACGTCTGACCGTGTTCTTTCCTGGCCCCAGTGATACGGTGCAAGGACCTGAGGAGGGCGTACGAGGGCCCGGTCCACGCTTACGTGAAGGCGAGCCTGAAGAACAGCAACGGCGAGGGGGTGGTGAAGAGGACCGCGGTGCACAGGGCCACGCCGAATCCCGTTTTCCACGAGACCTTGATACTGCCCTGTCCGGCGAACAACAATCACTGCGCCAGCAGCAAGCCTACGTCCCTGGACATCGCGGTGTGGCACAGGGATCGTCGCGCAAGGTGAGCATGCCCGCGACGAAACGGAGCGAAACGCGAGGCCGGAGTGGTGGGGCTCGGCCGCGGTGCAGACGGGAACGAATTTTCGAGCCGGGACCCTCGAAAAGACTGTTCCTCGTCGCCGAGCCTCTTCCGCGCGCGCGGCAACGGCACCCCTACGAGGGTGCTCGCACCCTAGTCCGGTACGTCGCTGTGACCGTCTCTCGATATCGCGCGGCTCCGCTCCAGCAGCGAGCAAATCGTGTGTCCCTTTTAGGCGGTTCACCCGGAACCGCCGAGAGATATTAATCTCACGCGAGCCGTTCGTCGCGAGGATCTCGCGTGCTCGGTGATCCCGCGAGAGGACCGGTCTCCTCCGATTCGGATTCGCTCTGTGTGTGTGTGTGTGTGTGAGAGAGAGAGAGAGAGAGCGAGTGAAAGAGAGAGGGGGAGAATATGGTCGCCACATCCAGTTCGACGGAAGGAGCTGTCCGAGATATCGGGGTCAAGAACTGCCGTCGTGTCGGGTGTCACCTACGCGAGTTAGGCCCGCGTTCTTGACATTAAACGAGAGGCGGTCCGTCATCGAGGAGAGGGAGAAGTGTGCTCCGAGGAGCGCGGATACGCGAGCGAGAAGAGGAGACACCGCGGAGAAGACCGGCGGCGTTGATAGCCAGGCGAATTCGCCGGTCGATAAGCGGCCGTGTCTCGAAACGGGATAATTCGGCGTCGATGCCGAGGCAACGGTCCATCCGAACGGCGAAACGAATTTCTGGGGTATACGCGTAGGATTCCTTGCGGTAGGAGGGGAATCGATTCCCTGGAAGCATGCGCATCGCGTTCGCCACGTGCACTTCGTCACATCCGCGCGTCTCTGCAACGCTGTTTGCAACGGCACCCTCGGCGGGGAGGGAGTCTCGCTTTCTCTCCCACCCCCTGTCTCTTCCTCTCTCTCTCTTTCGCTTCTCTGTCTGTCTTTGTCTATGTAAATAGTCGAAAAGACTCGCGTGTGGGTGGCACATAAGCACCGACGGCGTGGATGCACCCACACACCGGGGAGAGCTGCGGCTGCATCGGCCGATACACATGGAAACAAGCTTCGATACAGAATCCTCATGCACGCTCTCTCGTTCTTTGTGTTTCAGACGTAGCGAACTGCTGGGCTGCATGACTCTGCCTCTACCCCTGTCGCAGGACAAGGTAAATAGATCAAGAAGTTCGTTCTAGATCATCCCCCCCATCCCCCGTCGAGATCGGTCGATCGGTTCTCGCCGCGATTCCTCAACGGGTTGAACGATCGATACGACGCCGTCGAACGGCGACGAGACATTAAAACGGTTTTTTGAGCGAATCTCGGGGTGAATCGCGCGCGGGGTGCGCTCGCCGCGGCGTATTCGGGCGCGTTTGTTTTTGCGGGAAGAGTAAGTATGTCCGGAGTCGTTCTGCGGATTTTACGCGTTCGAAAGTTCCTAAATTCGATGCGACATATGCTTCGCGCCGATCGAATCGAACCGCGGCATGCTCGATTCAGTCGCGTGCTTGTTGTATCGATGCTCGGCTTGCGGGTTTTTCGACTGTATCTCCGGCAATCTGATTGAACTAATAGCCGTTACATCGTCCGAATCGTCGTGTTACATCGTTGCGTGTCGATTCTACAATCTCGAGAAGAATCTCGACGTTCAATCGTTCGTCGTCCCGTCGCGTCTCCGCTTCTGCTCGCGCGAATGCTCGATTCAAACGCGTGTTTGTAATATCGATGCTCGGCTTGCGGTTTTTTCGACTGTATCTCCGGCAATCTAATTAAACTAATAGCTGTTACATCGTCTGGACCGTCGTGTTACATCATTGCGAGTCGATTCTACAATCTCGAAAAGAATCTGTCGGCCGACGTTCAATCGCTCGTCGTCCCGTCGCGTCTCCGCTTCTGCTCGCGAACGTCGCCCGCGCGAATGCTCGATTCAGACGCGTGCTTGTAATATCGATGCTCGGCTTGCGGTTTTTTTGACTATACCTCCGGCAATCTAATTAAACTAATAGCCGTTACATCATCGCGTCGTTCGAGTCGATTCTGCAATCTCGAAAAGAATCTGTCGGCCGACGTTCAATCGCTCGTCGTCCCGTCGCGTCTCGGCTTCTGCTCGCTCGAATCAACGGAAAACTGTAAGACGAGCATCGATATTACGAGCACGCGTCTAAATCGAGCACGACGTTCGCGAGCAGAAGCCGAGACGCGACGGGACGACGAACGATTGAACGTCGGCCGACAAACTCTTTTCGAGATCGCAGAATCGTCTCGAACGACGCAACGATGTAACGACGACGACGACGGTTCGGACGATGTAACGGCTGTTAGTCTAATTAGATTGCCGGCGATTGAGTAATCGAGTAAGTTTGCCGGTGGCCCGGTTGGAAATAGAGCCCCCGGCGTCCGGGGGATTACCTAATGCCGCACCGCCGAAGGAAAACCGCGTGAAATCGTCGCGGCGGAATTGGCTAAAGGGTTCGACAAGGAAGTACGACGGCGTCCGCGCGCGTCAGCTGTTTGTCGGGATTCGTGGGTCTTCCTGGCCGAAGGTCAGGGTTAAGCTGGTTAAGGGTTCAGCGGAGCGGAACACGGCGGTCCGGCGAAGATTCACTCGCGTTTTGACCTCGTTAAAAGTGACAGGTGTGTCGCGGTCCCATCTCCGGCCGGCGCGATAATAAAGTATCGGTGCGAGTTCATCCTGGTCCGCGTACGAGCGTGACGAACCGACGATGATCGTGGTGGCGATCTATTGCGTGGTCTTCTTCGTGATCGGTGTTCTGTTGAAGATCTTCATGTTCTGTTGAGACGCGTGAGATCGTGAGTCGCGACCATGGCCGGGAGAAACGCGATTTCATTCTCGTCGATCGCCGGCAAATTTCGAATCTGATACACGCATCACACGGCACGGCTGAATCGTTGAATCGCGTCGCGACCGAGCACGAGAGAGAGAGAGGGAGAGCGAGTTCTATCGTCGACTCGGAAAAACGTTTTTGTTTCTTCTTTCTGTTCTTTTTTTTTTCTTCTCATTTCCCGACGTATCGCATGCGTTACATCGAGGTAATCGAACGTGCGCGGAACCACCACTCTCTCTTCAAGAAAGCCGAGGAACTGAGAAGACGTTGAACACTTTCAGGAAGCGACATGGCATCCGCTAGAAGCAGGAACCGGCCGAAACACGAGCAGTTTGTACGCGGGCATGCCTCAAGACTGCGGAGTCTCGCCGCCCTTGTCCAAGGACGGGGAACCAGATAATAATAATTCAGGTGGCGAGAACCTGACGTATCTGAGGCATCTCGAATTGGAGCCGATCGATCCTCTGACCGGCTTACCGCTGCATCCCGGATTCACGGCTAGGGGCGGCAGGACACCTTGCACCGTCACGAGGAGACTGATCAGACAAACGACAGCCAGCCAGGTTGGTTCTTTCCTTCGGGCACCTCTCGATCTAACGCTTTACTCTTTTGCTCGGGTATCGATCACAGGGCAGAAGCGTTCCTTCTGTTTCCGTTGTTGTCGACGATGCAGCAACCGTTTCAATTGGAGTAAATTCTCCCTGATTTTCCTTCTGATTTTAAGTAAAAATGAACGATTTGGGAAGAAGAAGAAGATCGGAGATGCGTGACTCGAATAATCGTGTCTTCCCAAATTGACCATTTATGTTTACAAATTGGAGTAAAATTGGGGGAGAAGCGTTCCTTCTGTTTTCGTTGTTCCTGACGATGCAGCAACCGTTCCAATTGCAGTAAATTCTCTCTAAGTTTCCTTCTAATTTTAAGTAAAAATGGACGATTTGGGAAGAAGAAGAAGATCAGAGAGCAAGGCTCGAATAATCGTGTCTTCCTAAATTGTCAATCTTTGTTTGCAAGTTGAAGGAAAATTGGGGAGAGTTTTTATAGTAATTATCGGGAAAATTGGTTGCTCGACCCTTTAGATCCTTATTTTTATTATTATTTATGCGGAGTAAAAATGGATAGTTTGGGAAGAAGAAGAAGATCAGAGAGCAAGGCTCGAATAATCGTGTCTTTCCAAATTGTCCAGTTTTGTTCGCAAGTTGAAGGAAAATTGGGGAAAGTTTTTACTGTAATTATCAGAAAAATTGGTTGCTCGACCCTTTAAGTGCTTATTTTTAGGCGGAGTTCTTGCCTCGCAGTCACCGCGAGAACTTTCTTTAACCTTTATGTCATGTTTAACTCTCTCTCTCTCTCCCTCTTTCTATCCCTATCTTATTTACCTCGATGCTTCTCTACCATAAATTCCACACGGCTTCCCTGCACTCTCTTTTCAATATCCTTTTGCTGTCGCTTCGTACACATACTCGCGAAAGTATTCGAACGCCTTTTAAAACATAGTAACTTTACTTTCTAATCGGGCTAAGCGATCTAAATTTTCTTTAGATATTAGAGGGATCGGTTTATTGGACAATGGCCAAAAAATTGAACTGACAAAAAGTATAAATAAAATTCTCGCGTTTCTTAAATCTTTTATCTGAGCCTACAAAGAAGATTTAAAGAATCCTTTTTCTAGATCTCATTATACGAGTGCTTTAGTAATTGTTTAGTAAACTAATCTCGCTAACGTATCAAACAAATTTGAATCGCTTAGCTCGATCATAAAAAAAGTTATTCAGTTTTAAAAGGCATTTATCAAACTCTCTCGTGTCGAGGTGTATGTGCACCTGATTATGGCTATTAACTTTCTATATTATCTAGCACGATCTATATACAATTTATAATATAATATAATATAATATACTATACTAAACTATAATATACTATACTATACCATACTATAATATAATATAATATACTATACTATACTATAATATATACAACGTAAATACGTATAATCGGAACGACGTTCCCATAGCGCCGAACGTTCCGTCCAATAACAAGAAGTAGCAGCATCCTCGGCCAAACGTTCTCGTTTTAGCGAGCACTTAAAGGGTTAAACGACAATTCGGGTAGTGAATCGAAGGGTCGCGAACGTTTCGGTTACCAAAGGGACCGTTCCGAGAATTCTCGCCGGCGGCCACGGTAATTGCCGTTTAGGCCGATTACCCGGGGCGGTGGGTCGCAGCAGGTCCGCGATCGGGCCGGAACTGGCAATAGGCCCGATCCCGAGCCCAGCGAGCGTGCCTACCTCGGGCCCCCCTATCGGCGTCTCCGTATGTGGCACTTCTTTCTCGAGGAAGTGTCCCGTTCGCAGGCGGGGGGCTGGCCGGAATTGGCGCTCCCAGGTCGACACTTTGTTCACCGTACGTTCTGTTACAGGTACCATGGGGATTCTCGTTGTCCTGGGGGAGGCCACCCCGCGTGGAGCGCGTCGACCCTGGCAGCCCGGCGGAGCGGTCCGGCCTGAGGCCAGGTGACCACGTCGTCTTCGTCGACACGACGAACGTGGTGACGCTGCCGCGCGAGGAGATCCTCGGGCTGATCCAGGCGGCGACCAATCAGCTGATCCTGGAGGTGTACCGGAAGGGAGGGCACGTGCACTCGACGATGCACCGGCCCAGCTCGGTGAACGTCAGCATGCAGCAGCCGGTCTCCGGTGGACAGCCCGCGGTCGCGTTCACCGCCGAGGTCGGTACCGGCGTCCTCGTCTGAGCTCGCGACCTCGTCGCGTCCACCCTCGTCGTTCCGCGTCGATCGTCGCCGCCCAATGAGGAACGAGGCCGGGAACGAGCAGCGGCAGGGGCGGAAGTCGCTTCGCTTGAGTTTTCTTTGATTTGTCATTTGTGTCGCTCGTTCGCGCCTCGTTCCTCCCGAGAACCGAATCTCTCTCTTTCTCTCTCTCTCTCCCTTTCTCCGTCGGGACACGATCGGCGATCCTATAGACCCCGGAACGGGGCCCGGAGAATTTCGGCCCGTCGATCGAAAACGCATCCGAGGAAGAGCCAGCCTCTCTGTCCCATCTCGGTCGGGCCCACCTAGCGATTCCTGTTGAGAGCGATACACCGCTGCATGCGCATACTTCGGAGCTTGTTTTACGTTTGGTTGCTAAACACGCATGCCGCGTGCCGCCTCTCTCTCCCAACCCCTTCTCTCTGTACATTCATTGTGTCGCGATTCACTTGCGCTGTTGTAACGCCGCTTAGGTTATTTACGATCTGTGTAACCACGCGAACGACGCGATTAAGTTGTGTTTTGTAATGACCGTCGGTTGTCTTTTTCTTTTTTGTTGTTCAACAAGTTCTGTTTCAAACCAGTCGCTGCGTTTCGTTTATTTCTGTACACCCTGTCCCACATCAACCATCGGAGGTACACCTTCCGAAACCAGGCACACCGGTCTACCGGTTCAATTTTCAGTTCTACCTGCGAAATCCTTGGGGAGAACGAGATACGAAGATATCGGTGTATTTGTTCGGGTTTGTCGGTAATCTGTTTGGCTTCCCCTATTTCGTTAGAGTTTCTGAAGAATCTTTTTTTTATCACGGATTTAGTATCGGTATTGTTTTTATCGTCGTTGCTATGTTAGCAGATACCGAAATTTGTATACAGTAACGCAATTGCTATGATACCGAGGTCTGTGATACCGTTGCGGTATACTTATTAATACAGTATAAATAAGTAAATATGGACATAATATTTATATACTCTTCTATAAAAATATCAATACATCTCTCGGTATTATTATAACAAAATATATTTATATTTTGTAAATACCGACGTAATATTTTTATACTCTTTTATAAAAATATCTATATATCTTGGTGTAATAATACCAAGATATATTGATATTTTAAATTTAAAATTATATTATATATATTATAACGATAATAATATTATATATTATATATAATTATATTATATATTATATATTACTTAATTTA